AAACATCAGAAACAGACTGGTAGCACATTAACAAATTGGATTACATCACATTTTTTTCCTGCACCTTAATTCATCAGATGTTATTATATAGATGCAGATTACAGTACGGGTCTGATGAAATGAGCTGCAGTTCATGAAAGCTTGTGTCTTTAGCCCTAATTATTATGTTGGGGTGAGGGGAGGCAGTGGCTGCTGGGTCTGAGGATGAGAGCAGTGGCTGAACATAGATGCACAGATTGGCGTACTGTAAGCCTCTACCTTCATTTCGCGGGGCAGGGGGGAATGGTTCCGCCCTGAGATATTTCGATGAAAACTGAGTCGCAAATAGAACTGAATAAGGAAATACAAACACAAATACGGAGTGCCGCCGGTTTCCCCGTCCACGAGCACAAGAACTATAGCTTTCAAAATCGGATAGATTAGAAGAGGGTCTACCTCCTCTCAACGCTTACCACGGGTGTCAAACTTGTCGCGACACGTCCCGTATCGCGACTTTTTTTTTTTGCATTGCCGGAGCTGGGGTGGGCGCGGCCTCCGTATGATGTAACCGGTCTGCGGGCCGGCAGTTTGACATCCCAATCAATGAGTTTCCTGTACCATCCAAAGTCTCCTAAATCGGCTTTTGCTCCGGAACGGACGTGGCTAAAACAACATCCAGCTCCAACCCCAGCCAGAAGACGGTCCGGCAAGGAAGCAAGGAAAGAGCGTGTTGTTTGGTTCTCCCCAACTCTTGGATTGACCCCCCAACTGATCGGAGTTTATAAAAGACCGTGAGTGAAGGGGCTGGCTTGGGTGGCCGATCGCTTCCCCGCCCAGCTCGGAGGCGGCCGAACGGGGCAGAACAACGCGCTGTAAAATTTCTGCCACCGGCAGTGATGGCGTTATTGTGGCCTGGCTTTTCCGCGTCCGGTGCCGGGGAGGGAAAGCTCTCCTAGCCCCACCGAAGCCGCGGAGTGGAGTGGGTTGCGCGTGCTCTCTGCTCGAGACGCAGAGATGGTGGGGCGCTGCACTGGGGCGGGGATGGGAGGATTTAGGCAGGGAGGGTGACGCGTGAAAAGGAGCCTCTTCCATGCCTTTCTGGCACCCCGGGAGGCGAGCACCCCGCCATCTCAGGTAGTTTCCTCCTCCTGCTGCTGCTCGTCTGAATCCACGCGAAGAGCACAGGTAGGCCGCTGCTCAGATTCTTTAGGAGGCCGTGTGGCTCTTCAGACGCCGATCTTCTCCCGCAGTCAGGCCCCGCTCCCTGCTGCGGTGGAGCATCACTACTGCGTGGATCGTTTTTTGCTCGGACCTAGCCACGACGCAGATCCCTGCCAGCTTTGGCCCAAGGGAGGGGATGAGAATGGGTCTGCGGTCCTTTCCTCTGGTGCCAAAATGTGGTGGCCCTGCGCCTAGGTTGTAGTCTTAGTTAAGGGATTAATGAACATATAGTTTGCCCACGCCAAGTTGTTAAAAGTTGACTTATGGGACTCTGTGGTTGTGCGCTGGCTAGAGACTGAGATAGGTAGAAATAGACTATTCAGAACTTCACTCTCAGCCATGCTAAGTGGCCTTCAGCTGTTTACTATCCATTGGCCTTTCTTTCTTTACATGGTTACTGGGGTAAAGACAGCCTTGAGCTGCTTAGGGGTAAAAGGAGAGGGGAGATAAATATAAATATCAAAAACGAGGGCATAAAATTAGGCCATAATACTAGCCCTTCCCAATTTGGTGGCCTCAGACCTGTTGGGCCTCAAGGCCTATAATCTCTAGCCAGCAGGACTAAAGGGATGGGCTATAGAGCTACGGTATCTTGAGTACAGTAGCAGGTAAAAAAAGTCTGTACAATCTGAAGTGGATGATCCAGGGTACAATAGCCAGGGAAAGCAGTTTGGTAGGACATTCCTTTCTCTTGCCCTTCCTTTCATTTGAAATTAAGAGTTTTGGAACCCACTGAGTCAAGCAGAAAAGCCATGAGTTTTGAAGTATTTTGAATCCAAGAGTTAGTTCTGAGTAGCAGAAGAAAATGGAATTCTCAGCAAAAAAATCAGTTCGCAGTTATTCCAATCTTTCTTCATCTCAGCTGTATGCTGTAAGATGAAAACAGGAGAATATAATTGCAGTTATTAAACAGAGCTTGGAAAATCTTATCAGCTGAGGGCAAATCACTCAGAGATTAACAATAGATTTCTTGTCCTCCTCTTTGTAATAGGTAGATTCTTTTTGCTATTATATATTTACAAACCTAGAAAAAAATACAGTAAATAAAAAGTAAATCACTTTACTATACTCAGCAAATCTTACTCCCTACCCCATTAAACTAGGAAGCTGAGTTCTTCAATATGAATCTATTATTGTTCCTTTATTTTCATTTGGAACTCCCCCTCCCTAAAACTGCTGTATTTTTTCTTCTTTTGCATTCAGTTAATAAAGAAAAAATCAATACATAAATGTATTGCCTCATATATTCCCAACAATAAATGAAATTGTCAACATTTCACTTTCAAAGAAGATTTTTCTGTTTGATTAATAAAAACTCCCACATCCTGATGCTGGTAACATTCAAGTTTTTGGCAGCAGTACAAAATTGATCAACCACTACCTTTTTCAAGGATGATTGTCCAGTTTCCCAATATATCCTGGTAGTTTTCAATCCGAGTTCTAATAAGGTTTGACCCTGCTCAGGTTTTTTTGGGGGGTGGGGTGGGGGATAAGGGGAAAAGATCAGGGCTGGAAGCTGTCATCTGTTAAGTCCCTTCATTCTAGTTAAAATATTTTGTTTCTTTGTAAAATTTATTGGCCACCCATCTTACACCAGATAACTCTGAGCAGCTTACAAATGCAATTTGTTCTTTTATTAATTTTAAAATAGTGACAAGAAACGCCTGACAGTTCATATGCAATTTCCTGTTGCAATCCCAGCATTATCGCACACAAGCTCTTGGTATCACTGCCCCTTCCCCCCTCCTCAATAGTGTTCCTCAGCTAATGTAGGGTTTTGTCTGTGAATATTTTTTGTGCATTTTCTCACAAAACCTTTTCTCTTTTATCTGTCTAGAGCATGTCAGCTCTTCTGAGGAGCCTTTTGGCTGCCTCAGAGAAAGCTGCCCGCATTGCCCAGCTATGTCGCCAAGAGGAGGCCCTCTTCAGCCTGCTCATTGAGGAGAAGAGAGGTGCGGACAAGAATAAGAAGTTCTTGCAGGACTTCAAGACATTGGCAGATGTGCTAATCCAAGAAGTCATCAAACATGATGTGGGAAAAGAGGTAGCTGCTTGGGAAAGGGTTCTCTATGTAGTGAGAAGCGTAATAAGGTGTTGTGTAGAAGATTGGGCCGGATCGTAGAGGATTTAAGCTCTTTTCCTCTCCAATGTCACTCAAAAGGGCTTTTCTATTTACTCTAAATTCTTTCATTTCATTTCATTTCATTTATTTCATTTATACCCCGCCCTTCTCCCGGAGGACTCAGGGCGGCTTACAGCCAGTTTAAAACAATCCCACATAAATACCAAATACAAATCTAAAATAATTAAGAATAAATATTTGAATTGGCCGCTCTATTAAAATTTTGTTAAAACCAATTAAAATACCCCCTAGGCCAGTCCTGCCTGCTGAAA